TTGTAAAAACACATGCCTGCACCAGACGGCTTTGATTTTCACAGCATTAGATCCATGTGTGTTGAAAGCTTCCTCCCACCTTAGACTCGGGGGAATCACTGCTGGAAAATTTGCATCTTCATATGAATGTTTCAAAAGAGGCTCCAACCAATGCAGTTTCTTACATTTATATAAAAGGACATCATTTTATCAAGTTATTGACGACTTAACCATGCATAGATTTCTCCATCTACCCCAAACAGCATCTCCACCTGATGGCTATTGAATTCAGACAGCTGGCACTCACAGCTCTTTGAATACTGGAACAGTGACTGTTTGATTTAGATGCAGTCACTGTTCGCCAACAATTTTCCACAGAGCTCCTTCGATTTTCCAATCAAAGCTTGTTGACTAGGGTGGTGCCAACAGAGCCACCCGCAACTGAATTTTGGCCAATTCAGCAGGAACTCGGGACGCATATGGCTATCTTCGCTGAGCCTATCCTGTAATGGAATGCAGAGGATAATGATTATGTACAAAGTCCAGTATTCTATAACAACCAGTGAGATTTTAGATTCCTGCATAGTAAAATATTACTTTTGCAAACCCTCCGACTTCCAAAAAGAGCTTGCATACCTAATATGCAGTCTTATTAGGTGGGTGTATCCAAGGCCACATTCACTTCTTAAAACAAATGTTGCAATGTGAAGCACAGTGCACCCTCCCCCCCCGCCCTTTCTCTCTCAGACTGTTAACTCTGCACAGCTCTCCACAATGCACCCTCTGACCAGCAATGCTAATTGAATAGATTTGAGTGAGTACTGCAATGACCTCTGAAGTATTTTGCTGCTCCTACAATAACCAGTCACAAGTGAGGCAAAAAAAAAAAAAAGGTGTCAGGGACCTGGCTACACTGTCTGACATGGGTGAGTGATTCTGAATGACTGAACTGAATTACAAATCTTCTGGTCGGGTCAAACAGTTCACAGTAAATGTGGAACTGGATGTAAAAATAAAAATAGAGAACAGGATCGAGGCAAACAACGTGCCTGAAAAAGCTTAGCTGGCGCCCTACAGTCTTCAAAGTTAAATTTACACCAGAAACTGCATCACAACTGCGTGCGTCTGCACAGTTGCATTGCAATCTGTTTTGATGCGTTTGTGATGCGTTCTTTCCACCTGCATGATGCCACAATCAATTCTGTGGGTTTTTTAATGCGTTTGTTGCGTTTTTATGCATTTCGGGCAGTTAGATGCAGGTAAAATAGGACAAGCAGTACTTTTTCTGACTGCATCTAAACGGACTGCAATGGTGTGAATTACGCACAAGTAAGCCCATAGGAAAGCATTGTGATGTATTTTGACTGCAGCAGTCAAAATAAACGAACTGCATCACAACTGCATATGGTGTGAACTGGCCCTTAAACATCTTGACGTCAAAGTCTGTTAC